CTGAAGCCAGCAAAGTTACCTTGACTTTGGATCTTGGCAGTTCTGGGAATGGAGCTGAGGACATGGCCCAGCTCTGTTTCTCAGGATCCAGCCCCATGTTTTTATTGAAAGGTGAATCAAGACCTTGTTAGACATCACATTTTGAACAGGGAGTGTGGGCAGAGCCACATTACCAGGAATTCAGGTGGTTTCCATTGATGTTGATGCTGAGCAGCAGCTGATGCTGCCTCTTGCAAATAAGTCATTTGAGAAGCATCAGGAGACAGTTTGGGACAAAAGTCTCATTGCTGGTCAGCAGGAATTTTAGTCAAAACATGAATTTTGTGGCACCCCTGGCCGACTGCAGCTCGCTGACTGATCACAAGTGATGCCTTTTGTGAAAAATAAATCCTCCATCCTACCTTGCATCCCTTGACAAACCCTGGCATAACTAATAACGCTGCCATGGCTCTCAGTGTTTCCATTTCTCTGGGTTCCCAGGCTGTTGAGATGATGTGCTCTGTTTGCTCACATCTAAGACTGCGTGGCTCAGCTGTGCCAACCCTTGATTCATGATAAGGGCTGTGCCATCAGTCTCTGTCAGACACAGGCTGGAGCCTTGCTCGGGATTATGGATGGCTGCTCGAGGCACGTGTGGGTCTCCACAACCACTGGGGCTAAATCTTGAAGGAGGCAGAAGTTTCTTATATTTGAGGAATGTTCATTCCTGCTCCTCTCTGCTTGGGGTGTTGGCAGCATCGGCTCCCAGCACGGAGGTCTGGGAGAGCTCAGCAGCTCAGGATGTGGGGCTTTTATTGAATTCAAACAAACCCCCCAGCAGGTGCTCTGCAATGCACAGCCACCCCCAGTGCTGATGTCTGATCTCATTAGGGACACCCAGGGAATCAGCTCGGTGTCCCCTCCCCAGCCACCTCTCGGCCTGACTCGGTGGCCGGGGAGGATTTGCAGCCGTGCCTCTGCTAAAATGAGCTTTGGCCAGTTTCAAAGGAGCACTTTGTCACAAATCATCAAAAATCCACACTGGAACTCTGGGAAGAGTGTTATATTCAAGGATGAAAAGCTGAATTATCCTGCTGTAAAGTGAAATGGGGGCAAAAAGCAGTAACAATGGAACAGGGGATGTTTGCCTGGATTGTGTGTGTCTCAAATTTAACCTGCTGTAATGCAGGGTCACTTCCCGTTAGCAAAACCCCCTGAAGGGAGAGAGGGGAAATGTAAAAAGATACTTTACAGTAAAACAATATACTTATTTTACTCCAAGATCAAGGATTCTTTTTTTTTCTTTTTTTTTTTTAAAGGAACTTTTGAAAACCTACCCTTGGTTTTACAGAATATTTTAAACTCCTCCTATATGGTATGGTTTTCACTAAGTCATTATTTAAAAATTGAGCTCTTGTCATCTTTCTTGCACAGGGCAAAAATGACTCTTCTCCAGATGTAATTAGGACTTTGTTCCTTAAATTTGCTTCTATCAGCAGCTGAACTTTTCCAACTACAACCTATACTGGCTGAATTTTATTAATGGAGTCACTCTGCTTTCTGTTTCTTTGAGTTTTGCTCTCCCATATCTCCCAAAGCATTACACTTGCATGTCTTTGTTCATTGGTTTTAAAGGCTTTCCTCAGCTGGGATAATAGAAAAACCATCTATTTCTGGTCATCCAGTTGCAATTCTGGCTATTCTCAGTGGGACATATATATTTCAGCCTGGGTTGGTGGAGGGATTTAGATATACAATTCCAGATAGTCTTAATGAGAGTAACAGTCCTAATTCCCCACACAGAATATTAAAAACGGGTCCAGGGTGTACAGAGTGAAACGCTGTGATCTTACCTTTAAGTACCTTTGCCTTGTTCTTTTTTTTCTTTTTATTCCTAAATATCATTTGCATCTGTGTTCATTAAAGTAACTGAGAGCTGCTTTGAGGATGAGGCAGTTGATTTTTGGAGCCCCTGTCTGGTTTGCTTTGCTCTGTTTTCCTGGAGATTTTGCTCCACCTGGGTGCACCTTTGGAAGGGAAAGGTTAATCCAAGAGGGAGCTGGAAGAAAGAATTCAGCAAATTGACTCTGTTATTATCCTGATTGCCTTCAGTGTTAGACAAGAAGAAGATGCACATTTTTTTTATTGCTTTAATTAACTACCACCAAAAAAAAGATCCCCACCATACTGTGAATCTAATAAGGATTAAGATTCAGTTAGAATATTAGAACCAGATCCACAAGGAAGAAGCTTTTCATGCAGGAAGGACGTGTTGATTTTGTTCCTGAATTTCATGAGGAATCATGGGGGGTTTTGAAATTCTTTCTCAAGGCAACCTTTTATCATAAAATGCTAAGAAGCATCCATCCCCTTTTGGTAGTTTTTGACCCCATTCTTAGTTTTGTTCATGCATTTCTTTTCCTTCTCTCCTACTCCACATCTTCGTAGGGGTCCCCCAGGCCTTGTTGGGAGGATGCCACTGGTGGAGTTTCTTTCAGCAGGGAAGTGGTGCAGAGAGGAGAGAAAGTTTTCTCCATTTGCACAACGTGTAAGAAATTTCCTGGAGCTTAATTGTCCATTCTTGAAGGTTGCTGTACTTACACTTGGAAGCCAATATCCATGGAGAGCTAGTCTGGTAGTTAGGAGTAAATGGGCTGTGAATACTCCAGGCAGCTCCTCTTTCTTGTGTTCAGATCAATATTCTGAGTTAGAGAGGGGAGATGTGGCTTGGAGCCTCCTCCTTCCCTCACTCTGGTCTCCACTGTTCTTCCCTTCTCCCTTCAGCCCATTGTGACCCCTCTGATGACTCCTGCTGATTTTGGGGAGCCCAGCAGCAGCAAACGGCCCCTCCTGGGGCCACAGCACTGCCTGGAGCAATTTGACAGCCAAGCTGTTTGGCTTCATAACACACATTTGCTGCACAGACCATTTCTTGATATGAAGGCAAATTATCTCCCACTGTGATGCTGCCATGGATGAGCAGAAACTCTTTCCTCCTTTCTTCTTTCTTCTCTTCTCTGTGTACTGCTGGCCAGTAAACTATTTTAATTTAAAAGGTGATTTAATGAGATAATCTGTTTTCCATTCAGGTTCTTCCTGTGGCTTAGCTCCCCTCCTTTTTTCCCCTCTATCCATCTGATTTCTTGGCTGCCTGAGTGGAAGGGCTTCCTCCCCTGCTGCTCTGCAGTTCCTCAGTGCTACCTGCTGCTTTCTTCATCTTCTCCTACCCCACTGCTTGTTCCTACCTCCTCCCACAGCCACCCTTTGAGCCCATGACCCCATTAATCTGTCCCAGTATTTTTTCCCCCCTCTCTGTGCCATAAGACATTCTTGTGTGACTGCAGGAGTGGGATTGGTCAGGGAGCGGGTCCATGGATATGCAAGAGCTCTGAGGGGATGCACAGAATTGAGTCTGTCCAGTTTCTTGGGAGCATTTGCATCAAAACTATTTCCATCTGAGAAAAGAGCTTGGTTGTGATAAAAGATAAGGGAGATATTTGCAATGTATGAAAAGCACAGAGAAAAATAAGTTCTGTCAGAGAGCAGGAGAGCTTGGATGTTTGAGAGCTCTGTGTGCACGTCCTTGCTTTGACCAGATTTTCTGTAGGGCTGTGAAACTGCTTTGGATGGGGTTCATCTCAATGAATTTAATTAAAACCAAGGTTTGTTTTTTCTGTTTGTGCTGATCTTCAGGGATCCCTGACTGGAGGATCCTCTGAGGAGCTGACTCCTTCTCACTGTATAGGCAGCGACAGGAAGGAGCTCAAGATGTTGTGGTTGGAGTCGATGATCTCTGAGGGCTTTGCCAACCTAAACAATTCTGTGGTTCTGTGCTCCAAGCTCTGATCTACAGGGAAAGGGAAAAACAGTAAATGCTGTATCTTAATGCCTCTGATTTTCTCAGAAATACTGCAGAGTCAAAAAGAGACATGAGCCAGTCAGGTCACTAAATTGCATAGGAGATCATCATTTTGTGGAAAAGAATATTTCTTATCTACTGTGAGTGGGATAAGGATTGGGAAAGTGAATTGCAAACTTCCCACAAGGCAGGATCTGATTTTGGTGAGTGATTCTGAGATAAGGAAGTGTCAAACACAGAATCACAGAATCATTTAGGTTGGAAAAACCCCTCACGATCATCGAGTCCAACCATGACCCCAGCACTGCCCATCACTAACCCATGTCCCCAAGTGCCACATCCACAAATTCTTTACAAATTCCTTAAATCCCTGCAGTGCCATCTCACCCTTTGCCATGAATTGGCTCAAAGGAGAAAAACACTTCTAATCTTCACTCTGTCCTCTACCTAGACATGGCAAACAGTCAGCAGGGAAAGAATTGTGTTAAATCTGCTTTTAAAAAGACAGCAAGAAAGGTGAAGGAATCTTTACAATGGCCTGGAGGGACAGGACAAGAGGAATGGCTTTCCACTGCCAGAGGGCAGGGATAGATGGGATTTTGGGAAGGAATTGATCCCTGGAGGGTGGGGAGGGTGACCACAGCAGCTGTGGCTGCCCCTGGATCCCTGGCAGTGCCCAAGGCCAGGCTGGATATTGGGGCTGGGGGCACCTGGGACAGTGGAAGGTGTCCCTGCCCATAGAAGGGGGTGGAACTCGATGTTCTTTAGGATACATTTCAATTGGAAGTGTTCCAGGATTGTAGGATTTGAAATTGTTGAAACCTCATCAAAATCATTGTTATGGGTTCAGCTGTGGCTGTGATGAAAACCAAGGCCTAACAAGTTTTGGGATCAGGGTTTTATCCCCTCTCCAGTGGAGTGGCTGCCTCAGGAGCATCTCCCATCCCCAGCATTTCCAGTGCCCCACTCTGGCTCTGTGCAAAGCCATAGCAAGAACCAGCAACCAAAAGTCCAACTTGTACAACACTTTGCCATTACAGTTTTTGATTGCTCAGCCCATACAACTCCAGGATCCTGCCATACCAATAAAAAACACATGAATTAGAAGGCTGAGAAAAAAAAAAAATCCCATGTTACAAGATTGTTTTTCTGTTTTTCACAGGAACACCAATGCTTTTGGGAAGCAGGAAAAGGAGCAGCACAACAACCCCTGGCTCCCTTCCATTTGCAGCCTCCAGAGAAACCATTGCTGCTGCTCCTGATGGCTCATCCAACAGGGCAGATCCCTCCAAAGACCCCTCCAAACCCAAAGAGATCCAAGCACAGGGTGTCCTGAAACCAAAAATGTCTGTCTCCAACAGCACATGCAATGTAAAGGCGTCATCAGGAATGCTCTGGGAAGAAAATGTTCACAGGCAACAGCAGCTCCTAAAAAGTAAGGTACAAATCCTACTGTGGTTGTCAGGAATATGGTTTCAATAATAAGATGAGATTAGTCTCAGAGAAAAAAAATGAAATAATGGAAAGTCAGGCCATTTTTGTGCAGCTTTAAGTGCTGAGCGTGAGTCATCTGGTGAGAGATCAATCAGCTGATCTGACTGTATACATTGCTATGGTTCATAGAAAACAAGATTAAAATTACCAAGATAGGCTTAGATTCCCAAGAAAATCTTGAAAAAGCATTAAAATTGCAAAGTCAAGCAGCCCCAGCCTACCCAAGTACTACCAGTAGTGAGGTTATTTTTACAACCTTGTTCTGATACCTTTCTTTCACTCCTTCAACCTTTTTTTTAATGACACAACAACCTGAACTATGATTATTAACAAGATTTAATAACATAAAATGTAATTTCTTTGGGTTCAGCTGTGTCTGAGATGTCTTACTTCCAACATTAATTCTCACAGCTGAAATGCAGATGACACCAGCAGCTGTGTTCATGCACCAGGTATTTTTGCAGAAAGCAACTGAGAATAATTTGGGTTTAGTATCAATATGTTTGCGAGAAACTTATTCCTTAAAAATGTTGTAATGGTCATAGAACCTTTTCTTCTTACAGCTGTGTTTTCTGAAGAGAATTTTTTGCAGGCTGGTAGGCAGAATTTGTCATCCCTGAGCATAAAGCTACTGAATGTCACACATTTGGAAGCCTAAATGCTGTTTTTAATGCCTGAAGTTAAATCATGGCATTCCCCTAACTGAGAGCAACTTTGTTTTACAAAAGTGAAGCATCCACTGAGATCTGGCAAAGCCCAACTTAATCCACACCTCTAAACCTGGCTTAGGGAGGAATTTAATTTCATGTTCACAGGTTTCAAGGTTTATTCCAAAATGTTGGTGAGAACAGTGTTAGGGAGGAAATACAGTTCAGGCTTTTATAAGGCAAATGTACCCAACACAGATCTTTTTAATATGTTTTTAAAGTACAATATAATATGTACAATATGTCATAAAGAGGAAAATATTTTAAGTTTATTGTAACCAAAAATTGAAATAAAACAGTAACGGGCTTTATTCCCAGATATTTAGTTCTAGAAATCAAATTATTTGGCAAGGAAGGAGCACTCCATCCAGTGTGACTTTTCAAACAGTTCATATGGAGCCATTCTGAAGTTCCTTTGTTATTTTGGATTTGTTCTGTCCTCTGAATGAGAATCTGATTTTTGAGCACACAGCCTCTTTTGGTCCTAATTTGTGCAGGGAGTATCAGTCAGTGAGCATTAAAACTTAATTAAAAGTGTAGAAAATAAAATAATCTCTTTTTCTCAATGTGAATTGACAGTTTTCATAATAATGTCCTATAATGCACAATAACCTTTTGTTGATTATTTTTTTAAATGGAGCTTTTCCACTGGCTAATGGATCTGTAGGAATGACAGAAAGCAAACTGGATTAAAAACAAAGGAAAAAACAACCAGTGGTGCTGATGAAAGGCTCAGTGTGGTGAAAGGGAAATGATTTGTGGTTAAAGCCCATAACAATCTGGTATTTTCTGCAATAAATTGGAATGAACCCCAACTGCAGGTCACAGCAAGATATCCCTGGCTTTCCATGGTGCAGATTTTGGGAAGCACCAGCAAAGAGAGCTGAGTGTCCCAGAGTTTTAATTGTGATTTCCTTCCCTGTGAGGTCTGGATAATGTGAGAGACACTCCACGTGTCACATGGCAGCCACCATTAGACCTGATCTCTTCTGCCTAATGAGGCCTATTAATAACAGCCTGGCTTTCTTATTTCAGGAATGGCCCTCTCTGTCTAATGAGGTGGAGAACCCAATAAAAAATTAGCCATGCGCTCCTAACGAACTTTTAAATCTCTCCAAGGCAATTATGAATTCCCTGCTCCGAGGGACAGAGCAGAGGAGCTCGAGGCACAGGACAAGCAAGGCTGGAGGGTGCCCCTGTCCAGGGTGCCCCTGTCAAGGGTGCCACTGTCCAGGGTGACATTGTCCAGGGTGTCCCTGTCCAGGGCTCGTTCTCCAGGTGTGGCTTGGGACAAAAACCTGCTCACCTGGCCAGAGCCCCGCTCCCAGCAGGAGAAAACTCCAGCAGCTCCATGTTCACTGCGGGTAAAGCATCATTTTTTTTCCTTTTTTCCCCACTTAGTTTTTTTTTTTCCCCCCCCCCGTTTTCTCCCCTTTTCCCCCATGGATGGTGTTTGCTTCCTGGGAACTTCTACGGGCAGAAGTTCACATTCCTTGATTTTTCCCTTTGCAGTGAAGTTTTGGCAGTTTGTATCCACTGCCAGAACTTGCTTGGTTGTCCAGGCTCCCTGATTTGAGCTGCAGCTGCTGTTCCTGGGGGGGAACTTGTTAAGAGTTTGGGAATTTACAAATTCCCAGTTTCCCAAGTGCCTGGCACTTCCAGCTCCAGCTGTAGGTGTGGACATGGCCCAGGTGGTACCTGCCTGATGGACTTCCCTGCCTTTTCCTCCTGCACATGTTGCAGACCCATCTCTGCTCCTTTCCCCTGTCCTAAGACATTCCTAAATGTTGAAGCAGCCTTTGACTGGGAAGTGTTTTCTTTCTGGATCTGCCATGGAGAGATCTGACAATCTAAATAAACAGGAAGGTTTGTGAACTGCCAGTGACGACTTGCTTCGGTGATGGGGTGAGAAAAGGAAACAGGCAAAACATCAAGAACTGGAATTTGGATGTAAAAATATGTAATTTAAAACATAGAAATGTGTAAGGTTGACAGGACAAGGGGAAATAGTTTCCCATTGCCAGAGGGCGGGGATGGATGGGATATTGGGTAGGAATTCCTGGCTTGGAGGGTAGAAGCTGTGAAGAGAAGCTGAGGCTGCCCCTGGATCCCCGGCAGTGCCCAAGGCCAGGCTGGACATTGGGCTTGGAGCACCTGGGACACTGGGAGGTGTCCCTGCCCATGGCAGGGGTGGGATGAGCTTTAAATTCCCTTCCAACCAAAACCCAGATTCATTTTCCCCACTTTAACAACCTCTAACCAAACTCAGCCCTACGCCCTCACACCTTTTCCTCCCTTTGAATCACCAGAGCATAAAGCAGCTTCTCTGTGTCCTGCAGGAAGCCCTGGAGCTGCACAACCCCCAGTTCATCTCGCGCTCGCAGCAGAGGCTGAAGAGGCTGGAGCTCATGGTGCAGCTGAGGAGGGCCCAGCACAGGGAGGCTCCCCCGGGCACCCCCCGGGCCCGGGCGCGCAAGCTCTCCACCTCCACCTCCAGCAGGAAGAGGCAATTCACCATCCCTGACCCTCTCAGTGGTGAGTTGGGAGCAACAGCAGGTCCTTGGCTGCCTTTGGAAGTCCTGGATGGAATTTCCAAATTGAATTTGGGGAGGAATGTGAGAGCTGCTGTTCCTGGTTCATTCCACAGTGTGGTATTTTCAGGGTCCCCCATGGCAGGAAGGAAATGATGAATCTGACTCCATGTTCTTAGAAGGCTAATTTATTTTTTTATGTACTTATGCTATATTAAAGACTATAGCATATTCTTTACATACTAAATACTATATACTAATATACTAAAACTATACTAAAGAATAGAAAATGGATACTTAGAGAAGGCTTAACAAGATACTAATTAAAAACTCGTGACCTCTTCCAGAGTCCTGACACAGCTGGACAGTGATTGGTCATTAAGTAGAAACAATTCACATGAAACCAATCAAACAATCACCTGTTGGATTGGTGATTGTGATTATGGAATGTGGTTTGGTGATTAAACAATCTCCAAACCACATTCCAAAGCAGCAAAACACAGGAGAAGCAAATCAGACAATTATTGTTTTCATTTTTCTCTGAGGCTTCTCAGCTTCCTAGGAGAAGAAATCTTGGCAAAGGGATTTTCCAGAAACTATGACAGTGACACTCCAGCATCTGTGCAGATGCTTCTGGCAGGAATTCCCAGCAGCTCAGACAAGGGTTAGTGGGGGTGAGGAGTTTCCTGTGCTCTGTGGCATCTCCTTGGGGAGTTTTTGTCCCTGTCACATGCAGTTGTGTTCTTCAGCACGGTGCAGCTGCTGCTGGTTGTGGGGTGATGGCAGTAAATGACATTTCACCCTCTCCCAGCTCACAGAATGATCAGTTTGGGGACAGGGGTGACAGCAGGGAGGCAGGAGGGATTTGGGACAGGAGCCCCAGCTGCAGGTGTGGATTTGCCTCTTGCGTCAGAAATCCCAGAGCTGGGGAAGAGCTCTGGCCTGCCCAGCCCTGCTAAATCAGGCCATGCAAACTCTGTGATTTCCTAATTGCAGCTGATTAGGTTGTGGCAAACAGCCTCAGCACCCAGTGAGGGAAACCCTTCTGTCCCTCACAACACCTCTGTAAATGTTATCTAAGCTCAAGATGTTAAACAAATTGCTTTTCTTTTTCTTTTCTTTTTCCTTTTTTTTTTTTTAATTGCCATCTGGATGTTAATTAACTCAGTTGACTAAAGAACAAATTTATTTGATTGCATGGCATTCCTCCTTACATCTTGGTTTTAAATCTGTGGCTGCTTTAAGATACATTATGCTACTGAAAAGTAAATTAATTGAAAAGATTAAACAAACTAACAAAGACACCTGGAGGATGCAGGAAAGGGAATATTTGATGTCCTCAACCTGGGGAAACAGAAATAGGTTTTTGGCTCCCTGGAGAATGAGGGTGAGTGCAGGGGATGTGAGTGCAACCACATTTCAGGGCTCTTGGAGATTGCTGGAGAATTCCAACTTCCAGTGGTCTGTCCTAATCAGAGCCCTACTGAGTTTTTATAGTGAGAGCTCAATACACATAAGGAAACATGGCACAAAGCATGAATTCTATCTTAAAGACTCAATAGAATTAATTCACCATTTCCATGATCCAAGTTAATTTACCTGGAATCAGATCTCAGGGCTGTGCAGTGTGAGAACTCTGCCAGCAGCACACCAGGAGTTTGTCATCTTTATTAGAGGAAGTGGCAAAAATCTCCCACTTCTGTCTGAACATCTTTGAAAATCCCCCAAACCACTCTGCAAATAATTTATGAAACAAAATATGAAAGGCTAAACCTATTTCTCCTCAAATTATAATGAAATTTTAATCTTTATGCTTGTTTAATGAGTAATAAAATCATAATATTGAAATATATTCATTAATTATTGAAGTTAATGACAATTTCCATCTTTTAGTGGTTGGTCATTAAAGGTAAATTTGTCTAGAGAGAATCTTTGGTTTCTGTAACTCATCTGCCTTCGTGTAGTGTGGTTTTCTGTTTGTGAGACCTTAATATTTTTATAATGACAGAAGTCTCACATGTCTGTAATTGAAGCAGAACTGGAGTTATGCTGGAAATCCAAATCTCTGGGTGAAGCACAGCCCTGTAACCTGCACTACAGAGGGCCCTTGTTGGAGCCCTGGCTGCTGAGAATTTCAGATTTTCTGTGCTGAAGGCACTGACCCCCAGGAGAACACTGTATTGACCTGAGGCCGTGGAGAAGCTTCCAAAATGGGATGACGGAACTGGGATTGTGGGTGTGGAGTTTGGATAGAAGTGTGTGATATCACAGGTGTGTGATATCAAACTACACACTCATAATCTCAGTTCTGTTATTCCATTTTGGAAGCTTCTCCACAGCCTCAGGTCAAATGCAGAGTTCTCTTGGGGGTCAGTTGAGAAAGTCTGAAATTCTCAGTACCCAGGGTGGGGAGAGGTGGGTGCCTGCTTTAATTCAGGTGGAAATGGGGCTTTAACTGCAGCCCAAGGTGTTCGGAGCAGTTTGCTGCACTTACCTCTCTCTGAAATAAGTTTGGTACATGTGCTTCTCTCTGCTCTTGCAACTTTTAATCCAATGAAATAATTCACACCCAGAGCAAAGACCTGCAGGGATTTTTCTCTCTCCCAGAGAGATTATTCTATCAGCCTAAAACATCTTTATTGATAACATGAAATTATTGACTAGCAGGGTTTCCCTGTGTTTTGACAGTGTCGTTACAACTTCAGTTTCTTTCAGGATAAAGAAATAATTGGCATTCAGCATAATTTCCATATAAATACCAACATCTGTGCAGTTCCCATTTACCTTCCCATCCTCAAAACCCCGAGCTGCTTACCAGTTTTTCATTGTCCTTCACAAGCAGGGTTTTACAAAACGCTGAAAGTAATCCGAGGAAATTGAAAATGTTTATCCTGCACGAGATTTTACCATCACCAGAGCACTCTGAAGGCACAGAACCTGCTCAGAACTCCTAGGCAGCCTTTGTGCTGGGTAATGGGCACTGCTAAATTTTGAGAGTGCTAATTAGTCCAAGATAGACAACTCTGCTGTTGACTGTGTCGAACAAATTAGGGATCCCACTGTGACGAGCTGAATAGAAACAATGTTCAAATAACTGCATTTAAATCTCCAAAACCGTAATGTAATTACTGCACTGACAGGACTACCAGCTGTTTATGGGCCTTTAAATCTGCAGAATGAACAGCCCTGTGATCTTGGTGTGCACGGGGACTTGGGGAGGTTTCACACAATTTCTCAGGCACCTTTGGGGTTTTTTCCCACCTTTCCTTTTCCTGTTCTTTGAGGGGTTGGTTGTTCTTTGGGATTGGCCATGGGAGTTGAACATTACCCTTCAACCCCACTGTGGAGCCTGCTGAGCTCCTCTGGGTTTGCACCCAAACCCTCAATATTTAATAATATCTTGGAAACAATTTATATTCCCTCAGTAGTGCTTCTAAACCTTCCCCAAAAGTATTTTTGGATTGCTGCTTGTTTCGGTGTTTTTTGGATTGCTGTTTGTTTGGGTTTCCCAGGAGTGTGTTTCTCCAGCAGCTCTGTGCCAGGGAGGGTTTTATTTGGAGCGAGGGAGGAGAAGGGGGCAATCAGAGAATTTGCAATAATCCTGCACTCAGGTGTAATCCTGTGACATTCACATTGGTGCTCAGCTGGGACTTTATTTGAGGCATTTGCCACAGACACATTTTATGAAAAATCCTTGCATTAGGATTTTTTCTCCTAAGAAGCTGAGAAGCCTCAGAAATGAAATGTAAACAATGATTATCTGCTGCTGTGGAATGCAACAGGTAGATCTTTGATTAGTCCTTGTTAGTTGTTTCTAATTAATGGCCAATCACAGTCCAGCTGTCTCAGACTCCCTGGTCAGTCACAAGATTTTTTTATCATTCCATTCCTTTCTATTGCTTGCTACCCTTCTGAAGAATCCTTTCTTCTATTGTTTTAGTATAGTTTTCATATATAATTTTCTTTTAATATAATATGTATCATAAAATAATAAACCAACCTTCTGAAACACGGAGTCAAAATCCTCGTCTCTTCTCTCATCCTGAGACCCTGAAAACACCACCCCAGTCATTCACTTTAGGTCATTTCCCAGTTTCCTTCTCCCCATTCGAACTTTTAATAGTGCCACCCATTCTTTTGGCTTTTTTGGCTGGCAGCTCTGAATAAAGTCTAAGCTGCAGTCAGGTAATGGAATTAGGAAGAGGAATGATCTGTTTTGAAGATATTATTAAACTAATATTAACTCTGCCACACCTTCTTCAAAAGCTGCCGTTTTTTTGGTGTGGGGGGGAAGCTTTTTGGAATTATATGCTCTAATGATATTGGAAAGATTTAGGAAGGCCAGGTGAGATGCTAATATTTTTGTTTTTCTGGATAAAATCCATGAATATTTAAGTATCATTTGGACAGAGAGGACTGAAATCTCCAGCAACATCCCCCAAATTATTCTAATATGAAAATGTTTGCATAAACCTCTCAATTTTACAGCTTTTTAGAGATATTAGTACTGTTTTCCAGAAAAATTAAAATATTGAGGAGGGTCAGAAGTCTCAGTAGTAGCAGGAGAGACCTGAACAGCTGGAAAACCTGGGTACCACCTTGTCACAGACAAATTTTCTGAAAAATCCTTTTGCTAGGATCTTTTCTCCTGGGAAACTTCAGCTTCTCCATGTTTTGCTCCTTGGTAATGTGATTTGGAGAATTGTTAATCAGCATGTGAAACTGTTTTTAATTAATCACCAATCACAGGTCCAGTTGTGTCGAAGCTGTGAGCAATCACAAGATTTTATTATTCATTCCTTTCTTTGCAAGACTTCTGATGTCTCCTTTCTCCTTCTTTAGTATAGTTTTAATATATCAAAATATAATATAATATAATATAATATAATATAATATAATATAATACATAATACAACAATATCAAGATATTATATATTATATTAATAATATATAATATATAATATATAATATATAATATAATATATATTATATTATATAATATATAATGTAATATATAACATAACAATACTATTATATTATATTACATTATATTACATTATATTACATTATATTATATTATATTATATTATATTATAGTATATCATATTATATATTTTTGTTTGGTTGGGTTTTGTTTCTTTGTTTTTTTGTTTGCTTTACACACCCTGGATGAATTCCCAGGAAAATGTGATGCCGAGCTCAACATCACATCCACATGTACCTTAGATTCAAGGCTAATTTATTTTCTAGGGGACTGCTGATTTTAAAAACCCCAGTGTTTAAAAAAATGTTCTGTATCCCAGGATTTCTCAGGGCAAATGGGTTTTTGGTGAATTATTTTTTCAGTTCAGTTAATGACAAATTAAATTAGAGATCCACCAGCAGCAGTGCTTTGCTTTGCACACATCCTCAAAGGCACATTTTAGCTCCTACCAAATTTTGAGAATTTACATTCATGTTAGAAGAAAATGAGTCTATATTGTGTATTCTTTGATAAATTTTGCCACTGTTTTTCTCTTTTAAGTGCTCCAGTGATTTAGTGGTAAATAGGAAGTTAGGGGCTGGTTCCAACACAATCATTTCATCTGTTCTCTGTCTAAATATTTACTGACTTCCCAAGCAGGAGAGTTACTCATCCTCTTGGAGGTGCAGTTCAGCATTAATTAAAATATATTACAGGGACGACCCATTTACCTTCATTTACAGCTTGCTTTAGTGCAGGTGTGAGACCAGTTGTAAAAGCCAGAAACTCAGGAGTTTCACAGGGTGTGAATAAAACACCAAGGAGGTGCCTCAGCCCTCTGTGTCTGAAGCTTTATTAACTGTGCTGCATCCCTGGCAGTGCTGAAGGTCTGCTCTGAAATCCCTGCTCCAAAAGCCATCCAAGGCTATGGAATCTGATAAGGAGCTTTGATAAGGAGCAGCTAAAACACAATTTAGAGCCTAGCAGCCTGGGGAATTGTCTACATTTGATCTTGGCTTGGTAGGAGAGAGCTTTAAGCCAGGTCTCCAGGATCAGCTTGAGGTTATTTCAGCTCTGAGTGTTTGCTGCTCTTCCCCTTTTAAATGCTCATTCTTCTCAATGTCAAGGATTAACAACTATTTAAATCCACTCTTGACTTTATTTTCTCATTTCTAGCAATTTTTTTATTTATTTCTCATTTAACTTTTGAGCGCTAATCCTACAATCCATCAAGGATTAGCCTCTGTGATTGCATGTGATTTCTCTTCTGGTAAATAGCAAGCTGGGAAGTGCTGCAGGAATGTTTGGCCATTAACCTCGTGAGAATTAACCTCGTGGCTCCATGGGGAAGTGGATTTATTATTTTCTTGGAGGATTTTCCCCAGGGTCTCTTTTGAATCCATCCCTTCAAAGCCTCATATCTTGTTCCAGGGCAGGGATGTGTCTGATGCCCTTTTGTGCCAGCAGGAGAGGATTGTTCTGGAGCAACACCACCAGAACAGCGCCCAGCCTCTGTGGTGCTTCCCAGAAATTGAAAATAGAGGCCACCCTGACTTAGGGACTGGCAGGAAAAATGCATTTTATCAGTTTATCATGCTGCACATGGAATAGGAAGTGGGTCTGCAAATCCCTGGATGGGTTTTCCCTGTTCTGGTGGCTACACAAAGCTCTGGAATGTTCATGTGTCATCATGCCCCGTCCCTGGAGGAGTTCAAAGCCAGCTTGAAGGGGTTTGGAGCAACCTGGGAGAGTGGAAGGTGTCCCTGGGTCACAGACAGGCTGCTCCCTGCACTTTGAGAGTCATTTGGACAGCAGTAGCATCAGAGTGTTTATTCCTTTTAAGTGAATCAACATGCAAATGAGCGTTAGAACACTAATAAATAAAAGACAAATTATGTTTTCCTAGCAAATCGAGCATGTGGCTGGTGTGTGCTGAAGATTTAACAAGGATGATTAAGTGTAGACAACTGCTGAGGGGGGAAAGTCTGTCCTGAGGCAGAGGAGGCTCCAGAGCCTCTCTCCTTTCTGAGTTTGAGCTTTGGAAACTGCACCAGTTCAGAACTGAATCCAATGATTTTGATTTTTGATTGGAAGGATGGAACATCTCTGCTATGAGGAATGGCTGAGAGACTTGGGATTGTTCAGCCTGGAAAAAGCTCCAGGGAGAGCTCAGAGCCCTTGCAGGGCCTGAAGGGGCTCCTGGAGAGCTGGAGAGGGACTGGGGACAAGGATGGAGGGACAGGACACAGGGAATGGATTTAAGCTGACAAAAGGCAGGGCTGGATGGGAGATTGGGAAGGAATTCCTGGCTGGGATGGAATTCCCAGGGCAGCTGTGGTTGCCCCTGCATCCCTGGCAGTGCCCAAGGCCAGGCTGGATGGAGCACCTGGGACAGTGGGAGGTGTCCCTGCCATGGGAACGGGATGGGCTTTATGATCCTTTCCGACCCAAACCATTTTGTGATTCCATGAATTTTACACAGAGATACAGCAGTGATCTCATTTATTTCTTGGCTTCCCACCTTGTACAAATATCCTCCCTTCCCATTCAGGACTCATTTTTGCAAGGCAGGTGTTAAAATCACCCTTTCCTCAGACCACTCACTGCTCAGATAAGAAATTATTTTCCTCTATCCAGGGAAATGCTGATTGGAATTATCACAGATCTCTTCATACTTGATTTTCCTCCTTCTCAAGCTCAGATAATTATCCACAGCCCTGCAAAACAGGTGTAAATTGAATCAGAAATGGCTGTACCAGGGCAGGCTCCTGACACACTGAGGAGCAGCCAGGGTGCAGCTGCCTGCAGGAACATGTGAGGAAATTTTGGAGAGATTTGGATATTTGGATCTGGCCTTAAGCCTTCAAAACTTTAACCAGAAATGGCAAATTGTGGCTCAGTGAAATATGACATTTGAGATTTCAGTAAAAGCAGACCCCTCCAGTACTAACTTTATTTTCTCTCTGCCAGATAACCTCTTCAAACCAAAGGAGAGAGTCATTCCCGAGAGGGAGATGCACATGAGATCTAAAAGGTACAAATCCCTCTGCTTTACAGTTTGTCCATGGATTTCTCTCTGCTCTGTCAGCTTAGATTTGGGCAGCCCTGCCCTTTTAACACCCCAATGGCATGAAAACCAAACCCTCAGCAGGGCATGAAAACCAAACCCTCAGCAGGTCCTTCATGTTGAACACCCAAAAATGGAAGCAGTGAGGTCACTTTGGATTTTTTCCCCCTGATTATGTCACAGAGGATGCAAAACCAGGACTGTCCAGCTTTCCCTTCCAAATCCTGGGACTTTTATCACTGATTTTAATGGGAAAAGATCAGAAATCACCTTTTTAATGGTGACTCCTGTTATTTTTAGAATGGAAAGATTGTGTCTTCCTTGGTAAAACGTGTTCCTAATGACAGTGAAAAGATGTAAACAGTTTGCAGACTTATAATGATGGTTTTCTTATATTTTAGAAGATTACTTGAAAATGATTGCTTGATACTAATTGTGTGACATAAATACAACAAAAAACCAACCATGTTCACCCAGATTCTGGTTTGAATTTTGTTGCTACAAATTGGAACCAACTTCACTGAGCTCATTAGAAGCTACTGCATTGAAATCACCTGATCCCATCTCCTTATTTTTTTTTACTCCAAAATCAGAATTTTCAGCAAGATTTGAAACCAGCCAGATTTCGTATCAAACCATGACTGTTCATAATTTATCACTCCCAAGCCATAAATCAAATTTAAATACTTAGAGATGCCCATTACAAGTATTGCACAGAAGGCAAATATTCCCTACAGGAAAAATTAATTATTTGTGAGCCCCAGGGATAACATGAGCTCTGCTTTCTGAATTCCTGACAGGATTTATGACAATTTACCTGAGGTTAAAAAGAAACAAGAAGAGAAGCAGAAGCGGATCATCATCCAGAGCAACAGGCTGCGTGTGGAGATGTTTAAAAAGGTGAGGATTTCCTGTGATTTCTGGAGCAAATGCAGCCAGTAAATTTGAAATCTGGGATGCCAACTCCACCTCACCTCCTGTATCACTAAACATTTCTATCACCTCATGGATTTTAACAGTATTTTAAAGCATTTTTGTATTTTTTTTCCTAGCAATTACTGGACCAGCTCCTCCACAGAAACACAGAGTGACAAAGGAGTCTCTTGCTCATCATCCTAATTGGATCTTGAACGCCTTTGACTTCTAGATAAGCCATAAAATTAACTGTTATCTCAATTACCTGGAGGTATTTTTCTTATCATTGGCTCTTTGTATAAAGAAAGATCATTTATGTTTCAATTGAAATTTTAAGGCAACTTTCTTGTAATCAAAAACAGCCTAAAAGGGAGCACAGCTGTTCCAGAGCATCACCTTTTGGTCACTTTACCCAGAGGAAATAATTTTAAGAATTTTTAATGCAAATACTGAATTACAGGGGTATTATTTATCTTAATCTTTTTTTAAAAAGCACACTTCTCTGTAGCAATAGCCCAGTGTTTATAATACATGGAAAACTTATTTCTCTGAAGTATTTTATTAATTGATTTCCTGTGAGTTAAATCCTTGAAGAAAACTGTTATTTGTTATGTTTAGGAACCAGTTGAAATAGCATTACCACATCATCAGAGCAACAGCAGTTTCACATTAATACTTAACATTCCAAAAGGGACCAATATTTCAGCTTTCTGAAGAACTCCATTCCTGTTCATAGAGTGAAACTACCTAGCAAGCTCTCCCATTAAAAACAATATTTAAATATATGTTTATAACATTTTTCATGTTTTTTTCATTGTAACATACGTTTTACTCCACTTCTGTGAGCACAAAGTGTTTCTAGAAATGGCAGATGAAGGAGTGGTGCCAAGAAGGATGTTTGCATCAAAAACTTGCAGAACTCAAACCAGCTGTCATGTTTCCTCCAAAAAAATATTTAAATCTTTATTTGTACATGTTGGAAGTAAAAACAAGCAGCTCACAAACCAATGGAGTTTATTTATGGAATAAAGCATGAGGATAATATTGATCCAAGCGCTGTGTTTTTATTTGGTGCTGTTAAATAAAACAAAATTATTGAAACTGCCTGAGAAGTCGTGCCTTTGTACCCACAAATCCCATGGGGGAAAAAACCACTGCCCCTAAAAATCACTGCAAGTGTTAAATTCTGCTGCAAAAAGTTTGAGCAGGGGTTTGAATGGGGCTGGAATTTGGCCTTTGGTGGTTCTGCTTTGTTTTCCCAATCCAGCCTGGGATGTAAGGTCAGGATTTTTTGGAAGAGGGATGTTTGTGAGCCACTGGGGCAACCTCCAGCTGGGTGACCTGTGCTGGACACAGGACTGGGGTGCTTTGTGCTCTGTTTCTGTTGGATTGTTTTGCCTTTTTGTGCTTCAGCTTCCCAGTTAACGTAGGAATAACGATGGGAATTTTTGCTCGCAGAGGAGACAGAGATCTGTTGAACAAATTTATTCCAGATAGATTTCCTCAAAAACTCATCAACAGTTCAATCCATTGGGAGAGGATGTGGAAGGTAAGGCAGTGAGGAAGGACCTGCCAGCTTTTCCCTGAAAAACACCATTTTAACCAAGGAAGTCATTCTGTACTGGAAACCAAACCAAGGCTGGATCACAGACGACTCCAAGTAGAAGTCAGAAAAGGGACACCAAGAAAGATTATCTTCCAAGCTTTCATCCTGTCCTAGCTCACTATGGCCAGAGACATTTCCTACAGGATCAGTGCCCAGATTCTCTTTTATTTCAGTAGAAACTGAACATTTCTCCCCCTTGAGTCCTCACATTCTGATTTTTGACTTCAGGAAAATGCAGCTTTGGTTCATCAGGTCTGCACCCTCAGGTGATTATTTCCTGCACATCTGGGAAGTAGAAGAATGTTATTTACATTTCACCCTGCCTTAGTGTATACCCTTAGGCCAGCCTGGAGTCTCCCCCTAAAGCCACAGCAAGATATTTTGGCATGGAGAGAAAACATTTGGGGTTTGGTATCCATGGAGGACACAGCAAAATAATCACTCCCAGGTCAGGGGTGACACCAGAAGGGAGCCCCAAAACTTTCCCACTTCTTCTCTGACAGAGAGGAAGAGACAGGATCTTCCTCATTGGGAATGTTTTCCATGGAAATCAGGCATTTATCCTGCAGGATACCCAAGGGAGATGGATTCATTTACATAGTCACTTGATGAACTGTCACAGACATATTTTATGAAAAATCCTTTTGCCAGGATTTTTTCTCCTGAGAAGCTGAGAAACCTCAGAGGAAAAGAAAAACAATGGTTATCTGCTACTGTGGAATGCAACAGGTGCATCTGGGATTGGTCCATGTTGATTGTTTCTAATTAATGGCCAATCACAGTCAGCTTGGACTCTCTGAGAGTCAGGAGCTTTTGTTATTCAGTCTTTTCTATTCCTTTAAAGCCTTCTGATGAAATCTTTTTTTTTTATTCTTTTAGTATAGTTTTAATATATAATTTTCTTTTAATATAATATATATAATAAAATAATAAATCAACCTTCTGAAACATGGAGTCAGATCCTCATCTCTTCACTCATCCTGGGACCCCTGTGAACACCACCACAATGAACCAAAGCTGCACTTTCCTGAAGTCAAAAATCATAGAATGAGGACTCAGGGGAGAGAAACATTCATCTGCCATCCACAGCATGTCCCTACTCCATGCCCATATGTAAATGTATGTAAATAAATACATGTATTTGACATGCTTCCCACTCTGTGGCTGGGAATATCAGGCAGAGGAGCTGATCCTCCTTGGGAACCATGGCAGCCAGGTGATCCTTGTGAGGAAATGAATGATGTGGGAAGAGCAGCACAGGCTCCAGGTGGGATTTTACCCCTTGGCACCATCACGGATCCCATGGAGCAGGGAATAACACCTCCACTGACCTGGTTTCCTCTCCCTCCTTGAGGACAGGGTACAACATTCACCTGCTGCATCCTCCCCTCGCCTGGCTCACAGCATGAAGCCAAGTGCATCAATCAAAGGGAAAAAAATCCTCTGGGTTTGCAAAAGGTTTATTTCCAAATGTTTTTATTCTCTCTAAATGTGATTTCTAAAACCTGCAGGACAAATCTGTGGCAGTCTGGGGTGGAATTTCTTGTGTACAAATAAGCTAGTGAGGAAAATGCATGATGCAGATCACTGTCTGGGAATGTTTTACATGGTACAAAACCTGTGCTTCAGAAAACCAAAAATTATCTCTGTTGTAAACCTAATTTCTCTTTCTGGGCTTGAGGAGAAAAAATGTTATCTGGTAATGTATTCAGCAAACAATTCTGGCATTCATTTCAGCTCTACAATCCATTCATTGTACAGAAAATGGACTGGGCAGGAAAATGTCATTTCAGGAAAGCAGGAGCCACCCAGGAATAGCCCTGGACAAAGGGGCATCAGCTTTAGGAAGTTCAGGGTTAGGCGAAAGTGGTGGGATCTCCCTTTGGCCTTGCAGGCTCTTCAAAGAGCCATTCTGCCAGCAGATAACAGGAAAATTGGAGGTCACCCACCCTTGTCCAGCTGGAATTTTCCTTCTTGTTGGAGAAATTTGCAGACTGAGTTCAAGTTCTGTGGGTGTTGGTGCTGTGCCTTCGGGAAGGACACATGAGGATTTCCAACAATGCTAGTTTGGGGGAGATTTGGGAGGGTTTGGGGGCATTCAGGCACAGAGCCTGTGTGGACTTGTCAGCACATGGCCTTGGCATTGTCCTTGCCAAGCACAAAGGGCTGGAATCCTGCAGGAGTGGAAATGGAGCCCACATGGGGTGTTGGAGGTGTGCAGGACTTGGTGTTTGTTTGTTTGCTGCCATCATTAATCTCATCTGCCAGAAAAACCTCCTCAAGGGCTGGAAGTCATTGTGATGTAAAGGACTGAGGGTTCCAGTGTTCTGGGGATTTATTTAAACCCAAATATTTTCCTGTGTATGTGTATGCAAGCCATCAGTTACATCTTGGAGTTTACTCAGCTGCTCTGAGGGATGAGGAGAATGTCTGGGTAGGACTTTGGAGGGGTTTTATTGTTGGATATCTGGGACTGGTCACGTTAGTGCAATGTTTTCTGGGACAGAAATCCTGATTTACAAGGAAAACAACACACAAAAGCAGGGATAAAGTTCCTGGCAGCCCTGTGCAGAGGAAACCATTCCCTGACACAGCGAGAGCTCCAAGGCTGCAAACGCAGCTTGCCTCATGTGCAGGGGTGTTTGTCCCTTTGAGTGCGGGGACAGAAGTGCCTGTGTGCTCTCAGGGGTGAGTGATTGTCCCCCCAGGAGCTCTGAGAGGCCACTTGTCCCTGCTGGAGCCCCCCAGGGTCACATTTCTCCAGGCACTGTGACTGCAGCCTGTGTCGCTCGTTGCTGCTTTGGGATGTGGCCGGATCCTGTGGGATCCCCCTGGCCTGGCAGAGGTCAGCACCAGGAAATGGGGCTTGGAGAAATCCCAGCCCCATCTGCAGCCCCTTGAATAAAAGGGCATTTATTTCAACTGAAATGCAAATTTACCTGAGCATAAAACCAGATCAGAATGAAAGAAGCTACAGAAAATGCACCCAATTTACTGTTGGTGGAAGAGAACAGCGCATGCATGGAACTATTTATTAAGATTTGGTTTAAATATGTGTTTATTTATGCCAAAATCACAAAAGCCCTTGCCCAAAATCCTCACCAGAGAGAGAGGAGCCTGTGCTGCTCACTGTGTGTTGCCCCTCTGCCCATGGAGATGAGGTTGGGTCCTGGAAGGGGACTTGTCTCCCAGCTGGAGGTGTTTTGGGAGGTTATGGTTTTATCTCTTGCAATTTCAGTTTAGCTGCGAGAAAACTGTTGGAATAAGCTTGTAATGGATATTAGGAAGGAATTGCTCCCTGGTACAGCTGTGGCTGCCCCTGGATCCCTGGCAGTGCCCAAGGCCAGGCTGGAGCAGCCTGGGACAGTGGGAGGTGTCCCTGCCATGGCAGGGGTGACACTGAAAGGGATTTAAGGTCCCTCCAAACCCAAACCATTCTACGGTTCTGTATGAAACCTCATTTTTATGTTGAGAACATAAAGCATCCTCCCTTTTTTTAGGTCAGGAATTTTACTTTTCCTAGTTCTCCTTGGCTCTGTACCAAAGCTGTGGGAGGTAGAATGACTTAATACTCATCTTAGGTGACCCACAGAATAAGATAATGAGGTGTATCATCTCCCTACCAGCTGCAGAGTGATTAAAAAGTAAAAAGAAAAAAGGAGAAGAAACTGCACCAATTTTCTCATGGTACACAGAGTTACACAAAATGATATGAAATAGGAGCAGTGCAATGAACTGCTTGAGAATGGTGTTGCATGGATAGGAATATGCAAAAGAGCTCTTAATTGCAGAAATTTGGTGGATATTTAAAAAAAATTGTCACAGGATGTATTTTTAGACTTCATGTTTAAAATACTTTTATTTTCTGCAGTATCTTACTATGACTAGATTCAGTTAATATATAGCTTCAGTTAATATATAATAAATCAGTTAATATATAATTATAATGTACAAACACCTATCACAGAGAGGCTGCTCCATGATTCTGGAGTTACTTCAAGTCTGCAACTGGCTTGAGAAATTGGTATAAAATAGCAAAAAACTTTTTGGAAACAACTTTATCTTCAACTTTTTGCTTGGGCCATCTGCTATTTCACCATCTGATGGGCTCTTGCAGTTGTGCTTGAATGGAAAGACATCCATTCCTATTTAATATTT